CTGGGACTGGAATTACAGGTAGCTGTGAGCTGCCAGATGGGCATTGGGAACCAAACCCAGATCTTCTGGAAGAGCAGCCCGTGCTTTTAACCAGCAAGCCTTGAATTTTTAACCAGCACTTCAGCCTTGAATTCTGTATCCTCCTGCCTCCACTTTCCAAGTGTTAGGATCACAGGCATTTACATTCCTGGCTATTTGTTGTTGTTGTTGTTGTTGTTTGTTTTGCTTTGGTTTTTGTGTGTGATTCTAAATATAATATTTCAATTTATCCTTTGAAATTTTCATAAATGTATCTTGAACATATCTATCCCCCACTTTTCTCCTTTGGCTCCCCCCCCCAACCCCCAATACCAACTTCATAATTTTTTTTTCTTTTAAATAATTTCCTGCCTCAAATTAGGGCTACCTGTTTCACATGGATGTGAGGCTGTACCCTGGAGTCTGGGCAGCCTACCAGAGACCGCATCCCTCAGGGAAAAGGGATGCTTCCTCACCAGCCGCCATCAGTGGTCAAAAGCTCAGTTTATAAAGCCGCTGTGTAGATCCGGCTGGGCTCCGCCTGCCTCTGCCTCCCGAGTGCTGGGGTTAGAAGCGTGTGCCACCACTGCCAGGGAGTAGCCAGTGTTCTCCAGTGCTCTTACATGCTGAAGGAACTGACACTCTAGCCTGGGCACGGAACTTTCAACTGGTTTGATTTTGTGCAGGTCTTATGTGGGTTACCACAGCTGCAGTTTTCAACAGGATTTCATGTGTTCTTCCCACACCCTGGCTCTTAGATTCTTTCTGTCCCTCCCTCTTCTGTTACGTTCCTTGAGCCTTTCAGAGGTGGAGTGTGGGCTGATTTTTTGAGGTGGGTTTTTCTTGTGTGGCCTAGCCTGGCCTCACATTCCACATTCTGGGATTATAGGCATATGCTATCACATACAGCCACAGATGTGTGTATTATGTAAAAAAAAAAATGAAAGATAGTTTTTTACATACATCATGAGATACTTGAATTTACAGCAATTCTCCTGCCTCAGCCTCCTAAGTGCTGAGATTATAGGTGGAAGCTATCACACCCAGATAAAAATATGTTCTGACTTGGGTTTTTGTTTTTTTGAGGCAGGATCTTGCCATGCAGCCCTGAATGGCCTGGAACTTGCTATGTAGACCAGGCTGCCTTTGAACACACAGAGACCCTTCTACCGCTGTCTTTCAAGAGTCAGGATGAAAGGCGTGCTCAACTACACCCCAATGAAAATATGTATTTTGAGAAAACTCAAGACCGTTCCTCTCAGAGAGGAAGTACGATTTATATGTGCATGTGAGCCCCGGCTGCCTCCTCCCACCACAACCAACCCCCATGGCCAATCCACAGCCTTAAATAGACTCACTCAGAAACCTAAAAAAAGGAAGGCATGGTGAAAATATCCTTTAGCCAGGGGACAAATTTAGAGCAACCTCTTTGTGAGTGCACAGCATAGATGGACATCTGGTCCCAGATGTGCCTTCTCACCCTGGGTCCCCAACACAAAACAATGCCCCTAGACGTTGTCATCCTTGAGAACAAAGGGCAATGACTCTCCACAATGGGCAACAAAAGGCTCTCAGAGTGGCTTTTTATACCCAAAGCCAAAGAAAGCCATAACCTGTGACCTCCATTCACTGCAGAAGAGTCCCACCGCTTTCCCTGCTTTTGTAACAGAGACCATCTGCCCAGTCTCAGGGGACAGCGTCGCTCACGGCGACACGTTCCACACGAACAGAAGCATCCTCTTCACATGTGGCGGTCCACCCAGAGCCTTCCTGGACTTGGAAATGTGCCCTTCTCAGTCATCCTACCCACAGCCTCCTAAGGGTGCCGGTCTTGTTTACGGCTTAAGCAAGGGAGAGATACTGCCAGGTAATGAGAAAGCAAAGCTCTTCCTAAGGGAAGCCGGCATGCTTGCGTTCCTCTGCAAAGACGCTTAGCTTTTAGTCTTTTTTGGTTTTGTTTTTCTTTTTCCTTCTTTCTTTCTTTCTTTCTTTCTTTCTTTCTTTCTTTCTTTCTTTCTTTTTTTAAAAAAAACCTTTATTTAACTTTATTTCATGCACATTGGTATAACGATGTCAGATTCTCTGGGACTGGAGTTACAGACAGCTGTGAGCTGCCATGTGGATTCTGGGAATTGAACCCGGGTCCTCTGGAGGTGCAGTCAGTGCTCTTAACCTCTTAACTGAGTCATCTCGCCAGCCCTTGTTTTTCTTTTTTAAATTGTTTTTATTGCACTATAAATTTTTCTCTGCTCCCCTCCCTTCCTCCCCTCTCCCATTCTACCGTCTCCCGTGATCCCCACTCTCCCAATTTACTCAGGAGATCTTGTCTTTTTCTCCTTCCTATTTAGATCTATGTATGTTTCTCTTAGGGTCCTCTTGCTGTCTAGGTTCTCTGGGGTTTTGGATTGTAGACTTGTTTTTCTTTGCTTTATGTCTAAAAGCCATTTATGGGTGGGTCCATATTATGTTTGTCTTTCTGTGTCTAAGTTACCTCACTCAGTATGTTTTTTTCTAGATCCATTCATTTGCTTGCAAATTTCAAGATATCATTATTTTTCACAGCTGAGTATCAAGACAGGGTTTCTCTGTGGAACAGCCTTAGCTGTCCTGGAACTAGCTCTGTAGACCAGGCTGGTCTTGGAGTCACAGAAATCTGCTTGCCTCTACTTTCCATATGCTGGGATTAAAAGTGTGCACCACCACACCAGGCTAGTTTTTAGTCTTATGATGCACAGAACTGGAGGGCGTAGTAGACCTACCATATTGACATTGAAGAAGCCATGTATTGTTATCCAGGACTAGGGATATGTCATTACGGATAGAAAATGGAGTATTTTATGATCAGATTCCTAAGAGAATAGGCGTGGCTTTGAAGGTGTGATATAAGTTACTAACAACAGGAAGGAGGTGCCAGAAGCAGCTTTGGAGTGGGTCTTCCCAAACCTGCACTGTCTTGTTCTCTCCAGTCACAAGGAACTTCTTCCTTGGGCAGGGTTTTAAAAGGACAGGCTCAAGTGCTGATCCCTCTCACCTGACCCAAGTGGGCTTGTAATGACAAATTACATCCCAAGGGCTGGAGAGATGGCTCAGTGGTTAAGAGCACCACCTGATCATCTAAAGGTCCTGAGTTCAAGTCCCAGCAACCACATGGTGGCTCGCAGCCATCTGTAATGAGATCTGGTGCCCTCTTCTGGCCTGTAGGCATGCATGTAGGCAGAATATTGTATAGACAATAACCAAATTACATCCCGGTGTTGAACAGTTCAGTGAAGGTATTTACTTTTCATTATAAGTAACTAGGCAGCAGGGAAATAACGGAGTCGGTAAAGTGTTTGCAAGCTTGAAGAATGGCGTTTGACCCACAGAAGCCAAGTTAACAAGCCAGGCATGGTGGTGTGTGTTTGTACTCCTAATGCTGGGGAGGTGGGGAGGGTCCCTGGGAATCACAGGGCATCCAACCTACTTGATGAGCTCCAGGGCCGGGGAACAATCTTGTCTCAAAACCAAAGGTGGATAGTATCTGAGGAGCAATGCCAAATGCCCTACACACACACACCCCAGAATTACTAGGAAGACAACATTACATTATGGACCAGATGAGGGTAGTAACCTCATGAAATTGCCACATTTCACTAAAAACATTCCAAGACCTTCTAGCTTGTTCCTCGTCTTCCAAACAAGAGGTCTAAATGCTACTCACGTCTCCTAAGATTTTGAATTGTTTCTAGGAGTACCTAACCTCTTCCTGCCGTCTTCAAAGTACATATCACCACAGAGCACCATACACAGATAGCCTGCCTAGCTCCACATGGAAGTTCTTGGGAGCCTGGTTACTCTGCCCACATGCCTTCCAGAGTTAACTTGTTGAAAACCGTGTGATCTATTATCCCCATGGGTTCAGAAAGGGAGAGCCCATTTAATGCCTGGAAACTACGTTTCGATGTCTCCAGGTAAACGGAAGACCTTTTTAGTACAGTTATTGCTGGCAGAGGCAAACTTTTGAGACCTCTTCTTGCTTTCCTGCACTCTTTCTGATTGTTTTTTTTTTTTAATCCAAGTTTCCACAATCAGCCTGGATAACTGGACCAAGTGCTGCTCGTTCAACCAGGTTGAAATTCTAAAAGAGCAACTATGCAGCCATAACTCTGCAACATGTTTCTCGAAACGATTAAGTACCATCTCCTCTCTTCAAGTACCTCTCTAGGAATTTGGGTTTATAACAACATTACCGACAGCAAGCAGAAACACTCCTAAGTCCAGCAATCTGTGAAAGTACAAAACCAAAACTAAACAGAGTTGGGATGTAGCTCAAGGCAGAACACTTGTGCCAGGCCCTGGGTTCCTGCCCCAGGACCCCAAAACAAACCCCCAAACAAGGACGTACTTACTGGTACACTCATTAAGCCAAATGCTATTCAGCAGTAATAGGAATGAGAAGGGTGCTGCCTGGCGCTTTCTCCTGTATAGACCTCCCTCTGAATCATGCTAAGACAGACACAAAAGCTCAACCAGTAAGACTCCAGAGGCTGGAGTCGGGATTGGAGTGGTGATGACAAGGGAGAGGGCATGCAGGGTCTCACTGTGCTGACGAAGGTATTTTAAAGCTGGTGGGGCTGGGCATGCAGTTAAGTGGTAGAGTACTTGCCTTAGGCTTGTAGTGATGCATTTGCTAAAAAGTATCGAACCAAACACATGGATGATTTTTATGGTATAAAAAGTATATGCCTCAAAAAGTTGTATTTTTTTTTTTAAAGCTAAAGGAAACGAACTGGGTGTGGTGGCAGAAGTAGAGGCTGAAATAGGAAAATTAGAATGCAAAGTTGCCCTTAGCTACATAGAAAGTTTGAGGTCAACCCAGGCTACATAAGACCTCTTATCGTTTGTGTGTGTGTGTGTGTGTGTGTGTGTGTGTGTGTGTTTCAAGACAGGGTTCTCCATGTATCCCTGACTGTCCTGCTATTCACTCTGCAGACCAGGTTAATCTCAGACTCACAGAGATCCACCTGCCTCTGCTTCCCACGTGCTGGGATTAAAGGTGTGTGCCAACACTGCCCGGTTTATTTTAAGGAAAGAGAAAAGGAAGAAAGGAAGGAAAGAAGGAAGGAAGGGAAAGGAAGGAGGGAGGAAAGAGGAAGGAAGCAGGGAGAAGGGACAAAGGGAGGGAGAAAAATTAGTTTTTCTGTTTGGTTTCTTTGTTTGTTTTGCTTTGCTTTGCTTTGCTTTGTTTTTTAAGGAACTGAAATTTCAGAGCCTCTAAAATGTGAAAAACAAAAACAAAAAATTGTATGCTACAAGAGAATCGTGCTTTGGATCTCTGGCTGTCCTGGAACTCACTGTGAGGAAGCAGCCTGGCCTGGAACTCGACCCACCTGCTTCTCCCTCCTGAGTGTGAGCACGGGAACTGAAAGCAGACACCACCACACCTGGTGAGGGTATCTTTTTCTTTTCTTTTCTTTTCTTTTCTTTTCTTTTCTTTTCTTTTCTTTTCTTTTCTTTTCTTTTCTTCTCTTTTCTTTTCTTTCCTTTCTTTTCTTTCTTTCTTTCTTTTTTTTGTATTTTTCATTTTCTTATGTTTTTGAGATAGAGACCTGTTAAGTAGCCTAGACTTGCCTCAAACTGCCGTGTAGCTAAGCTGTTCTTAAACTGTGAGCAATCCTCCTGCCTCCTGCACCGCCACAAAGGGGCTGAACCTAGGACCCTCACGTGCTAGACAAGGTCTCCACTCCCTCTCCTTTTTCTTTTCTAAATTAAATTTTATTGCCTCTAGTTATGACAAATATCCAGCCAGAATACTGGACAGAAAATACCACTGGAGGAGGGTACATCTGAGCGCTAGACTTGAAGAATGAACCAGGCTAGGAGGGGGGTGGGCTGGGGGTGGACAGGAGGAGCTGGCCAGGAAACTATGAGAAAAAGCCAAATTGGTTTGTTTTTTGTTTTTAAGTAGGAACACTTCACCAATTTGTGTGTCATCCTTCAGCAGGGGACATGCTAATCTTCACCTCATTCCAATTTTAGTACATGCAATGCCAAAGAAAACAGAGCCACAGGGCTTTAAAAAAAAACAACCGCCTGCCCCTGAGTTTGGTCTGTTCCAGGGAGTGAGGAGGCTGGGGGCTTCAGACAGAGGGACTCATGGGATCCAAAGGGGACTCTGGCTAAAAACTAGATAGAGAGGGCAGGGATGGACGCAGGGAGTAGTGGAAGCTACCTGGGGTCAGAGTGAAGACGCCTGAGCCTCAATCACTGTGCAGAGGGAGCTTTTCGACTATGCCTGGCATTGTAGGCCTGTGATAGTTGCTTAGGAGGCGGAGACAGGAGGATGGCAAGTTCAAGGCCTGAGTGAGCTACAGAGTGAGTCCAAGCACAGTCTGGACAGCAACAGTGTGACGTGTGACCTTGCTTCAAAAGGATGTAGCTCAGTGGTAGATAAATTGTCTAGAATGTTCTAACATGTTCAAAGTCTTGGGCTCCATGCTCAGGACTACAAAAACAAAAAAGAAATAAAAGAAATAACCAAGGAATGATGGGACAGGCAAGTCCCTAAACTCTGTCTTGATCAGTTGGGCCCAAAGGCCCAAGGTTGGCACAACGAAGCGGCCAGTTCAATCCTGTCTTTCTCTCTCACTCTCTATTTATTTTTTTTAAGGAACTGTGATTATATATCAGTGATAAAATACTGTGTAAAGCCCTTGGATTCAATCCCCAATACTTGACCAGAAAAAAAAAAAGAAAAGAAAAAAACACACTCATTTTTAAATTCAGATCTTCTAAAATCTGAATTTTAAAAGCAGCGGCCTAGAAAGTTCCTGTTTCTGCTGCAAAGGGGATTCCCACAGCCAGGCAAGCTTTAGCAAACAACAACCCATTCCATTCACTCACTCACTCATTCATTCATTCATTCATTCATTCAGTGTCTAAGTAAGTATCAGTCAAACAAAGACAACTCAAAGCTCTCTGAAGCCTGGCTGCCCTTTTTTTCTTGTGATGATGGGGATGACACAGCTCAGAGAAAGTCAACATCTCTCCCAAAACAAGGACAGGTGAAATCAGCTCCTAAAGGGTGAGCATGGGAAAGGGAGCTGATGTGACAGGTGTGCGCAGTCCTGGTTTTCTGCCTTGGTGGCATGGGGAGTCAACAAGCATGACTACTGCTCTTGGCAGAGACCGGGTCTCACCGTGTAGTTCTGGCTGGCCTGGAACTCACTATGTGTATTAGGCCAGCCTAGAGCTCCCAGAGATCTGCCTGGTTCCACCACCATGCCTGGCAGCAAGGTAGAACCTTCGTGTTCAAATCGCCACAGACGGAGTACTTTAAAACCTCGGACATTCATTTTCTTGCATTTCTGGAATCAATCCCACCGTCTGAAATCACCATGGCTGTTGCTCCACTTCTCACTGGGCTCTGAGGAAGCCCTTTCTAGCTTTTGGAGCTTCACTGGTTTGGGGTTCTGGCATGCTAGAAATTGGACGGACTGAAGCCCTTACAGATGTGCCGCTGCTGGGCTACCCCTAAGCTCTCCAGTTGGTTTCAGCTTGAGGCTGCAGAACTCTTTTGGCCTCTGTCTCTTCATTTGGCCTCCATGCAGGCCTGCTTCTCTCTTTCATCTCTTAGAAAGACACATGTCATTGGCATTAGCACCATCTGGTAAAAGCGGAGTGATCTCATCTCAAGATTCTTAATTATATCTACAAAGATGCTTTCTCCAAGTTAAGATCATATTCACAGGCTCCTGAAGTTAGGAAAAATGTTTCTTAAGGTGGTGGTGGGGGGTGATGGTCTTCATTTTATTTTAATTATCTAACCAAGCACCAGGTTTCTTTAAGGAGTCTTTATGTTTAGTTTTGGTTCATCTCCCCACCTCCTCTCATCTCCCCAGCCTTCATCCCAGTGTGTAGACCCTTCCATCCCACTGTTCCTCCCTCCCCTTCCATGTCACATGTGTTTAGTACCCACCCCTCCCCTAAGGCTTTTTTTAAAATTCTTTTTTGCCCCCTCATGGGTCCGTTTCTAGTTCCTCTCCTACAGTTGGGATGCTTTTGTTCATTTTTGTGTTCTGGAACAAGTTCTTGCACAGCCAGCCTGGCCTTGAACCCTTCAACTTTTGAACTCAGCATCCCAGTGCTGGGGCTACAGGATCACCAGGTATGAGGTTTTTTCTCTCTCTCTCCACGTAGCCCTGGTTGGCCTGGAACTCACAGAGATCTTCCTGTCTCTGTCTCCAGAGTGCTGGGATTAAAGGTGTGCACCTCCACACCCGGATGATTTTTAAAATAATATTTGTAATCATATATATGTGTTTGGATCTGTGTGTGGGTGTGCATAAGAATGTACTCTCTTGTCTCCCTTTTCTTCTCAAATAGTCCCCTAGCCATGCAGTGTTTTGTTTTGCTTTGTGTATTAATTAATTTATTTTTTGAGACAGGGTTTCTCTGTGTATTTCTGTCTGTCCTGGAACTTGCTCTCTAGACCAGGCTGGCCTCGAACTCAGAGATCACATGCCTCTGCCTCCCGAGTGCTGGCATTAACGGCGTGCGCCATCACTGCCCAGTAAGATGCAGTGTTTTATGATACACAATTCAAACCACTACACTGAGCAATTTTAAACTATCAGACAGGTTCATGCAATGCTCTTGTCTACACGGATGTATTTAAACCATGAGACAGGTTCATATGATGCTCCTGCCTACACGGATATATTTAAACTATCAGGCAGGTTCATATGATGCTCCTGCCTACACGGATGTATTTAAACTATCAGACAGGTTCATATGATGCTCCTTTCTCACACTGATGGGTTTAGTGACTGTTTGAAATATAAGAGTTGGTTAGAAAAAGAAAAAAAAAAGAAATATAAGGGTTGGAACTGGGACTGAGTTGATAGAGTACTTGCCTGGCAAAAGCAAGACCTTGATTTCAACCCCCAGTACGACAAAGAAATAAATCCATAACAAACTAGAAATAAGCTTTTCATCCAATGTACATAATGTATATTGATCTAATCTCCCCTCCCTCATTCCTTTCTTCCAATTCCTCCCCTGCCCCTCCTACCACTTTTCCCTGTCTCAAAACACCACAAAACAAAAGGAAGACTTTTTTGGTTTTATGTTTCCGGAAGAAAAACATTCAGAAATGGCACATACTAAAAATTCAAGTCATCCAAGGAAAGACGGGAGGAAGTCCCTGCTTCCAGGCTTTGTTAATGAAAACACAGCAGAAGAGAGGAGGCTGCTTCCTTTGTATCCAACCCAGTGCGGTGGAGCCGCCCATAATGTTCATTAGAGTCCTTAATCCACGCGATGATTATACATTTCATGCATTTCATTTGAACGACGCTTATCTCATTAACTTCCAGATGACTCACCCTATAAACCTCCGGCCATCACCATTCCCGCCTGAGTGGGCCATGTGCTGCCTTCCAGCTGACATCACTGGAAACCTTGAGTCTGCACCAAAGCAGCCCCGGGCCTCCATGACCTTTCTCCACAATGCACAGCGGGGCTGGACTTCTCAAAGCTCAGAACATTCATGTCTGTTGCTCAGACCCCATGCAGGCTACCATTTGAGCTCAGCCCATTCTTAGATATTTATGAATACCCTACAGCAGCCCCATTGAAAATCAAGACTCAGATTCTGGCTTTCAAAAACTTTCCTAGGGCCGGTGAGCTGGCTCGGCAGGTAAAAGTGCTTGCAGTCAAACCCGACGTTTTAAAACAAGCCTCAGAACACAATTGGCGGAAGGAGAGAACAAACTTCCACAAGCTGCCTTCTGACCTCCATCCACACTTGCGTTCTGATGTATTCCAAGCCCACTCTTGAACACTCACATCCACACGCAATACATAAAAATGTAATAAGATTTTAAAAAGCTTTCCTGATCTGCTCCAGGATTTCAGGAAGCCCTGTGTCTGTTTGCCTCAGTTGAGAGAAGGCCAGCAGGGCAGAGGAAGCCTGTGACTGCCTCACGCTGACACACAGATGACTTTGGAGAAGTCACCTAAGAAATATCTTACCTCAATGGCCATGTCTGCTTTCGTTCCTACGGTTCCTACAGGATCTGCAGTTGCCTCATCCCCCTGTAGCAGCACACCGGACCACCCAGATGCTGGAAAAAAAGAAAGCACATTTGAGCCAAGTGGATTTGTCCCAACCAATGGGAAGCTGCACCAGCTGCCATTCTGCAGATTGGAAACCCACATGACTTGTAAGGAAATCGAGTGGTAATGAACTTGTGGCTCCAAATCTGTCTGGTGGTCGCTGGTTGCTGGCAAAGCTTTGTTGCCAAGATACAGTCAGCTGGCACATCCTTTGTTTTCACTGAATTTCCAACTTCGGAGTCCTGTACAAGCCCTGTATCTTTTTGCTACTGTTTGAGACATGGTCTTGGGTAGCTCAGGTTCTCCTGGAGCTTGCTCTGTAGGAGAGGCTGCTTGAGCCTCTTGTTTCCACCCCCCTGCCTCAGGATTGGTATTACAAACCTGTACCGCTAGCCTGGCTTCGACTGTATTGCAATCCCTGAATCTGGAAGAGATTAGGATGATTTTCATAGTCATACTAGCCTCATAATGAGGCCTCACTTGGGACACAGAGTGAACCTCCAAGCACAGAAACACACACATCTAGTTCAGTACCCAACAGAAGTGATTCCAGTGCTGGGCATGGTTGGCCATACCTGCAATCCCAGCACTTAGGATGCTGAAGCAGAGGGCTTATGAGTCTCCTGACAGCCTGGAATAATAGCAAGGCCAAAACCAGTCTAGATTACTTACTAAGTTCCTGTCTCCAAACATTAAAAACACATACACACACAAAACAACAACAAAATGACTCTAGATTAGTTCCCCTTTTCAGTTCCACATACGTACCAGAAATAACTAGTCCTTCACTGTCATATTTATTTGCTATTTATTTTAGTTTCATGGTTGTGAGACAGAGTCTTGCTATGTCATCTAGACTAGCCTGGAATTCTGATTGTAGCACAGCTGGCCTCCACCTCTCAGCTATCCTCCTGTCGGTGCTGTGACCCCATGACCAGCCTTGTTCCTTTTCTCACATTGTCAGACTATCTGCAAATGTAGATATTTGGCAAGAGACAATTTCAGGGCAAGGTGGATATGGCAAGGGGTGGAGATGGCAAGGCATGGCCATAATCCTAGCCCTACAAAGGCAGTAGTGGGAGGATTGTCCCGACCTCAAAGTCTACTTCAAAGGTAAACATAGCAAGCTCTACAAAGTGAGTTCCCGGCCAGTCAGGGACACAGAGTGTCTCATGCCCCTCCCCATTAAAAGAGTAAGAGAAAATGGTTGTGACATTTTAGCTTTTGAAACGTCAGTAGTGATAATAAGAGGATAGATATACTGATGTCCACAGAGGTCAGAAGAGGGCAATGACTCCACTGGAAATAAAATTACAGATGTTTGTTAGCCACTAGCTCTATAAACCAGGCTGGCCTCAGACTCATAGAGATCCTCCTGCTTCTGCCCCCCAAGTGCTGGGATGGAAGGTGTGTGCCACCACCGCCTGACTGCAACAAATACTCTTTTTTTTAAAAATATTTATTTATTTATTATGTATACACTATTCTGTCTGTGTGTATGCCTGCAGGTCAGAAGAGGGCACCAGACCTCATTACAGATGGTTGTGAGCCACCATGTGGTTGCTGGGAATTGAACTCAGGATCTTTGGAAGAGTAGGCAATGCTCTTAACCTCTGAGCCATCTCTCCAGCCCCCAACAAATACTCTTAACCACTGAGTGATCGCTGTTTTTTGATAAGTGCTACGCCAGTCAAGTTGCCTTCTTCATACTTGTATCTATGGCCATAAATCTCCTTTGGCTAGAAAAGTTTCTTTTTTGAAGTGGGTCACAGTAACCTTGTCAAAATACCACGAGTAAGCAATTGCTGAATGCTCTCGCCTAAATCAACATCTGTATCACTCCTTCCAAGTCTCAGGGAACATCACGGAAGAGGAGGAGGAAAGAATGGGCGCATTGGAGGAAGGGCCCCGGGATGTTGGAGAATACTGACTCCCATGCATGAGATGATCACGGCACTCACAGCAGCTGTAATGATAAGACCTGTAACGACTGGGCGGGTCAATATCCCATGGAAAAGGTAGAATCTTATGAGGCTCCACTCCATCCTGAGGATCCACAGGCAGCTGGTGGTTACAGGGGGAGGGAGAGGCATTTTCTTCAGAGGTGTAGCCACTGGTAAATGCCTACGATGCATTAAATAATCTTTTCTCCATGCTGCTGTGAATAACACCAATTAAACTCATTGGTTCACATATAAGGTGCAGGTATGTGCACACGCGCACATGCACACACACACATACACACACACACATACACACGTAAAGAAAGTGTGGCTCCCATATCACAGGGGAAAAGAAGAAGTATGGCTAGAAGAGGGAATGAGCTTGAAGGAAGCTGGAACAAAAAGTGGGGGTACTAAGGGGGATACTTTTGAGTACCAAGGGATACTTTTGAGAAAACTGATGTCCACAGACCAATGTTAAGTTCTCGTGAGGTGTCACGATGCGTTTGTCTCCCGTGTTCAAAACTGCAGTGGTGACCTGTTCTTCACTGCTCTCTCATGTGGCGTTGTCTGGTGAAAAATGAATGAGGTCTTAGGAGTCAGGATAGAGAGAAGAGGACCTGTGTATACATAGGAGCTCCCAAGTATGTGGACTCCTAGGAAGACCATGTGGTAGCAATGTCGGAAGGTACTCAGTCACATTCTACACAGGATAGGGCTACAGGCCAACTTGATTTGTACAGTAGAGAGAAGGGAACCCCGTCATGATGAAGACTCAAAGATGCAAGACATCTGACAGCCTTTGTGGGGTGATGCTCATCCATCGGAGCATGCCACTTCCTTCTTCAGAATGGTGATGGTCATCCTGCCAGGGTATAAACATATCATAACACCACCGGGCAGGAGGAGAGCTTGGGATGTTTGTCTGCGAGCCCTTTGGCTCCAGCACACTGTCAGAGACTTTCAACATCTGCTTGCATGGCAAGTTCCAGAGAAGACACTCTATCCCACCAAGAGCCATGATTTATTACCATTGCACAAAAGCTCAGCTAGCTCAGATGAGGAACGTGAGAAGACACTCCGGATGCACATGCCGCTATTATTAGTTACAAGGGCACAATCTCCTTTTATATGAAGAATATATCTGAATAATTTGACCTAAGTTGTGAATTCTATTATACATGCATGCACACGCAAACATGTATTTTTATATAAAGTGACCCTCGCTTTAGCTTTTTGAGATAGGGCCTCATTATAACTCATGTTGGTCTAAAATTCACTATGTAGATTAAACTGATCTCGGCTGAGGTTGAAGCAAAGCTCCTGCCTCAGCCTCCAAGTATTAGCATGTGCCAACAGGCCCATCTCCATAAACTACCTCTTTCTATTTTGTATTTAAATTATTTTATTTATTTATGAGTGTGTGTATGGCAGAGGTGGGGTGTCCAAAGAGGCCAGAAGAGGGCATTGGATCCCATGGAGTTTTAGATGGTTGTGAGCTACCTGACAGGGGTACTAAGATTTGAACTCTTTTTTTTTTTTTTTTGATTTTTCTGTAGCTTTAGAGTTTGTCCCAGAACTAGCTCTTGGATACCAGGCTGGTCTTGAACTCACAGACATCCGCCTGCCTCTGCCTCCCAAGTGCTGGGATTAAAGGCCTGTGCCACCACCTTTCAGCCTTGAACTCTTGTCTTCTGCAAGAGTATCAAATACTCTCAACTACTGAACCATCTCTTCAGTCCTGTGCTTGGTTTTTGAGATAGGATCTCATGTAACTCATATAGGCCTTTAACTCACACATAGATAGGGTGATCTTGAATTCCTAATCCTATGATTAATCACCCAAATGCTGGGACTGCCACCACATCCAGCATCCATGAAGAATTACTTTTCTCTTCCACTGCCTTTATGGTTCAGGTCCCCCCAGTGCTGGAGAATGAACCCAGGTCAGGGCCCTATGCTAGCCAAACACTCTTCACGTGTCATTGCTCCAAGTCTTATTCATAACTTCTCTGAAAAGAGAAACGATATTTGATACTATTTCTAAAATATCTAGAAATACCTTTGCATTTTTTTATTCCATGTTTGAAAGAACAGATCAAAACTCCAGGGGGGAAGAAAACATGGTCTCCCTCCAAACAACAGCAAGTTTTCATTTCCTTGTCATTGGGGACGCAGAGAGCTGTCATCCTGTGGCTAGCTATACTCATAATTACTGCATCAAGGACAGTGTTAGAAAGGTGTGTCAGGCACAAATAAGCCAATGGCTGTGACTGGTTTCTTATTGTTCTTGTTGCATCTTCTGTCCTAGCTTGGAGTCAGATGAATAAGTCTCTTAGCCCAAGTTCTAGTTCCCAGTCACCGACCTTCCCATCTGCAGGCACTGGCTGGGCTCTGCCGACATACATGACAGCCAAGCTTGGGAGAAGCCAGGGACTCCCAGGGTGATCTGCTGGGAGAGGGATCTGGGCTGGGATGAGGTCGTCACAGGACTGGAGTACAGCACCCCATAGACAACACAGCTTTGTGTGTTTGAACACATGGAGACAGGCTGCAACACGGACCAATGATGATAACCTGGCAGCAGTGAAGGAGGTCTTGGGGTGCAGCAACTTAGGGCATTCTGCGGACAAATATGGGGTGACTTCATCTGGATCATTGTTAATACAGACATGAGAAGAGGGGGTGGGAGATAGCTTAGACATACAGGAGCGGAGATCAACCATGGGAACAACAAAGTAATATCTCCACGGTTACCCTCAGTGGGGATACATGCAGGATGGTTGAGGGTGCGGGTAAGAGATTAGGAAGTGGAGATTGTAAAAACAGAAGACAGAGCCAGGCATGGTGGTGACACATGTCCTTAACCCTAACTCTCAGGGAGAGGAGGCAAGTAGATCTCTGTGAGTTTGACATCAACATGGTCTACACAGTGAATTCTAGGTCGACCAGGGATACATAGTAAGACCTGGCCTCAAAACAAAACAACAAAAAACCCAAACAAACAAATAAACAACCAACCAAGCAACCCAGGCGTTAGAGGTAGTCAACTCACTGG